CAGCCACTCGACAACATTAACACATCAACAACAGCCACACGACAACATCAACACATCAACAACAGCCACACGTTAACATCAACACATCAACAACAGCCACACGACAACATCAACACATCAACAACAGCCACACGACAACATCAACACATCAACAACAGCCACACGACAACATCAACACATCAACAACAGCCACACGACAACATCAACACATCAACAACTGCCACACGACAACATCAACACATCAACAACAGCCACACGACAACATCAACACATCAACAACAGCCACACCACAACATCAACACATCAACAACAGCCACACCACAACATCAACACATCAACAACAGCCACACCACAACATCAACACATCAACAACAGCCACACGACAACATCAACACATCAACAACAGCCACACCACAACATCAACACATCAACAACAGCCACACGACAACAACAACACATCAACAACAGCCACACAACAACATCAACACATCAACCACAGCCACACAACAACAACAACACATCAACAACAGCCACACGACAACATCAACACATCAACAACAGCCACACGACAACAACAACACATCAACAACAGCCACACGACAACAACAACACATCAACAACAGCCACACGACAACAACAACACATCAACAACAGCCACACCACAACATCAACACATCAACAACAGCCACACGACAACATCAACACATCAACAACAGCCACACAACAACAACAACACATCAACAACAGCCACACGACAACAACAACACATCAACAACAGCCACACAACAACATCAACACATCAACCACAGCCACACAACAACAACAACACATCAACAACAGCCACACAACAACATCAACACATCAACAACAGCCACACGACAACATCAACACATCAACAACAGCCACACGACAACAACAACACATCAACAACAGCCACACAACAACATCAACACATCAACCACAGCCACACAACAACAACAACACATCAACAACAGCCACACGACAACATCAACACATCAACAACAGCCACACAACAACAACAACACATCAACAACAGCCACACGTTAACATCAACACATCAACAACAGCCACACAACATCAACACATCAACAACAGCCACACAACAACAACAACACATCAACAACAGCCACACAACAACATCAACACATCAACAACAGCCACACCACAACACAGAAGCCAGTACATCCAACTTTTTTTTTCTTTTTTGCTTTTCAAGAAAAAAAAGTCGTGAAAGGAATCTAAAAATACTTCTTGAGATTACTAAATGCTGAGGGTGCCGCGCTAAAGCTTATAATTGACAGTAAATCAGCTTTAAAGTCGCTCTGTCACGTGTGTGTGTGTGTGTGTGCACCTAATTGTACTCACCTAATTGTGGTTGCAAGGGTCGATTCATAGCTCCTGGTCCCGCCTCTTTACTGGTCGCTACTAGGTCCACTCTTTCCTTGCTCCGTCAGTTTTTCCATACCTCTTCTTAAAGTCATGTATGGATCCTGCCTCCTCTACAGCACTCTCCAATGAATGAATATTTCCTATCCCTTTGACTCATTTGAGTCTTCAACTTCCAATTGTGATCCCTTGTTGCTGTGTCCCATCTCTGGAACATCCTGTCTCTGTCTACCTTGTCAATTCTTCTCAATATTTTATATGTCATTATTATGTTTCTTCTCTCTCTCTCCTGTGTTCCAGTGTCATCAGGTCGAATTCCCTTAACCTTTCCTAGTAGGACATACCCCTTACCTCCGGGACTAGTCTTGTTGCAAACCTTTGCACTTTGTCTAATTTCTTGACGTGCTTAACCAGGTGTGGGTTCCAAACTAGTGCTGCATACTCCAGTATGGGCCTGACGTACACTGTTTACAGAGTCCTTACTGAGGTTTCGGAATGCTATTTATTCTAAGGTTTGCTAGTTGCCCATATGCTGCAGCAGTTATTTGGTTTATGTATTCCTCAGATGTGCTCGGTATTATGCTCACCCGAAGATCCTTTTTCTTCAGCGAGGTTTGCAGTTTTTGGCTCCCCTAGACTGCACTTTCTCTGCGATCTTCTTTTCTAGGAGCCAGTTGCTGAACCAGGCTTGCTGCCTGTCCAGATCTCTTTGTAGTCCTGCCTGATCCTCTTCCGACTGAATTCTCCTCATTAACTTCACATCACTTGCGGAACCCTGCTCGTCACAGGCGCTCAGTCTGACACCTAGTCCCGTACGATGACTCGCTGTTGTCTTCCTGTCAAGTATTCTCTGATCCATCGCAGTGTCTTCCCTGTTATACATGCCTGGTCCTCTAGCTTCTGCATTAATATCTTGTTGGGAACTGTGTCCAAGAAAGCGCAGTCTACCCACCCCTCTCTCTCATGTCTTAGTGCTGTCACCATGTCATAGAACTCCAGTAGGTTTATGACACAGGATTTCCCTTCCCTGAAACCGTGCTGGTTGTCGTTGATAAGCTCATTCCATTCTAGGTGCTCCACCACTCTTCTGATAAACTTCTCCGTGACTTTGCATACTATGCATGTCAGTGACACTGGTCTGTAATTTAATGCACCTTTTTAAAAATTGGGACTACATTTGCTGTCTTCCATACCTCAGGTAGTCGCCCTGTTTCGATAGATGAGTTAAAGATTGTTGTTAGTGCTACACAGAGCGCCTCTTCTCCCTCTCTCAGGACCTATGGAGAGATGTTATCCGGCCCCATCGCCTTAGAGATATCTTCACCTCCTCCTCGGTTGTATGTATCGTGTTCAGCACTCCATAGTGTACCCTACCTCTGAGTCATTCTGGAGACCTTTGTGTCTCCATTGTGAATACTTCTTTAAATCTCAAGTTGAGCTCTTCATATACTTCTAGGTCGTTTCTTGGGATCTCCCCTCCTTCCTTCCTCAGCCTGAGTACCTGGTCTTTGACTGTTGTTTTCCTCCTGATGTGACTGTACAACAGCGTCGGGTTGGACTTGGCTTTCGGTGCTGTGTAATTTTCGTAACGCCGTTGGGCCTCGCCCCTTACCTGTGCATATTCATTTCTGGCTCTTCGACTACTCTCTTTATTCTCCTAGCTCATTTGCCCTCTATACTTCTTCCATTCTTTATCGTACTTGGCTTTCGCCTCTCTACACAGTTGGGTGAACCATGGGCTCGTCCTGGCCTTCTCATTATTTCTGTTACCCTTGGGTACAAATCTCTCCTCAGCTTCCTTGCATATTGTTGTCACATATTCCATCATCTCATTTACTGACTTCCCTGCTAGTTTGGTTTCATTCGTCCTGCCCTTCCTGCTCCCCTCTCCACTTGTAACTGTACTATGTATTCGAAGCTCAGAATCACGTGGTCACTGGCCGCAAGGGATCTTTCATATGCGATGTCCTCAATATCTGCACTATTCAAGGTGATTACTAGGTCCAGTCTTGCTAGTTCGTCCTCTCCTCTCTCTCTGGAAGTGTCCCTTACTTGTTGATGCACGAGGTTTTCCAGTACCCCCTACATCATCTTAGCCCTCCACATTTCTGGGCCCCCATGTGACTCCAGGTTTTCCCAGTCAATTTCTTTGTGACAGAAATCACCCACAACCAGTAGCTTTGCCCTGCCCATATGGGCCCTTCTGGCCATTTCAGCCAGTGTGTCAACCACCTCTCTGTTACTCTCATCATATTCTTGTCTTGGCCTCCTGCTATTCTATGGTGGGTTATACATCACTGCAATCACTATCTTGGGCCCTCCAGTCTGAAGTGCTCCTATTATGTAGTACCTTGCTTCTCCTCTGTCTCCTCTCTCCAACTCCTCAAAATCCCATTGGTTTTTGATGAGCAGTGCCAGTCCTCCACCCCCTCTGTTACCTCTGTCTTTCCTCGGGACTTAATATCAACATGTCGGTTCTCTGAACCATTCATCTACAAACCTGTCAGACACTGCAACTTCTTGGGATCTTAATACTTAGGAATTCTTCGCTTGCCTAATTTGGGCACGACCTACTTCACATTGAACAAATGTGACACACCTAGACTGTGCACCTCTCCTGCATACGGTTTATAGCTGCTTCTCCGCTCACATGCTTTCTACTCATTGATGATGTACCACATCGACTCAGGACTGATTACCTCTTCTCCTCCTTTCTTCAAGTATCTCGTACTATGGACTGATGAGCCACTGTGGGGCGAACGTTTCCTCCTATAAGATACCCAAGAGTTGCACATGTGTCTAATTTATCAACTTAATATCCAGTTGGAAAGATGGCATCTATTATCATTCCTGTGAGCTTGGTGTCTCTGAGATCTATGATGTCTGGTGATGCCTCTTTGATTATTTTACTCCACTCCTCCCACTTATTCGTTATTCCATCAGTGTTGGTGTACCATACCTTCAGTTTCCTCTCCAACACAGTATTCTAGGGGTCTGTGGGGGTGGGGGAGTAGGGGACCTGGCAGGGTGCCATGGGATTCTACTGCATAGTGTGGGGTGGAGGCTGTGAGTGTGGAGTGTGGTTTAATTGGGATAATATATTTAGCTGTGGGGTTGTGAGGGTGGTTCTGTGAATGTTTGAGCTTGTTGCTCCATTTGACTCTGGTTGGACTCTACTGACTCTAGCTTTATTTCTCTTTCTAGCACCTTTCGTCTCTGTGTCCTCTCTCTCAGCTGATGTCATTCTGTTTTCATTCTGTCGCAGTCTAGGAACATCCTCCAGTATGTTGATGATTCCTTTAGCCATGGTTTCTCCTGCAGGAACATTTCCTGCACCGTTTCTATTTGTGTGTGTGTGTGTGTGTGTGTGTACTCACCTATTTGTACTCACCTATTTGTGGTTGCAGGGGTCGAGACTTAGCTCCTGGTCCCCACGCTTCACTGATCGCTACTAGGTCCTCTCTCTCCCTGCTCCATGAGCTTTATCATACCTCGCCTTAAAGCTATGTATGGTTCTGCTTCCACTATCTCACTTGCCAGACTATTCCACTTCCTGACAACTCTGTGACTGAACAAATACTTGTGTGTGTATGTGTGTGTAGTTATTTACATGTAGGAACCCTGTAGTACCATTGTCCCATGAGGATAATGTTCACGACACACTCCTGCAACACTTGGACAATCTCTGCAGAAATTTTTCGCCAACCAGCAGCAAGTAACAAGGTTATTAAACCTTATTGTTTGGGTAGCATTGAAAGTGGGTTGGAAAACTATTTTTGTTAGTGGGTTTTTGGTTTGAGAAGAACCTGCCTTGAACGGACCATTAGGCCTGATGCAGTGCTCCTCCATTCTTACGTTCCTCATCACTTATCGAAGCGTTCCACAAGGAAGATGCGCAAGTTTAGCCACAAGTGTCTCAGTTATCCACTTATCGGTTTTAAGAACCATTGAGTTGACGGTATTTTTTTTTATCTTATTGCTGTTGTTCCTTTGCAACATAGATTATTTTGTCCATTGCAATAATTTTCCATTTTTCCTCCTGCGTTTTAGAGGCTGCGTGAAGAAAATGTATGGTTCGACTTCATTAACTTGTTCATTGTAACATGTAAACTATATACACTGTTACATTAACACAACATATACACTGTATTAATGTCTTTTTCCACACGAGATATTATCACTTGAGGTTCTCAACCAAACTGGATCAGAAAGTTATGTCCGTGATGACAGTTCTACCTCAGTATCCCATAAGAATATTGAACTGGTCTGACATTAGACTGTTTCCAACCGTAGTAAGATAACTTTGTCTTAAAAAATAAATAAGTAAGATTTATTTACAAGTTCTGATTCATCTAGTTTCAAGATTTACGAAGTACGTCTAATAATGTTAATTGTGTCTTCGTTGGGAACATCGATAAAAATTGCTGGAACATCAAAACTATTTAAACAATTCAGTCGTTCAGTGAAGTTCAGATGTCTATATGTAATTTAGAAATAATGTAAACAGCAGGAGACAGGTTCTTAGACATCAAGAACTTTACAGGAAAAAAATGGTAACATCTTGTCTAGTTAAACCCAGTTCACTTAATTCCTCTACTGTCGCAACTGAAAGGTTGATACGAATCATGTACAACAGTTAGGTGTCTTTATTGCGAAACGTTTCGCCTACACAGTAGGCTTCTTCAGTCGAGTACAGAAGAGTAAGCAGAAGCAGTAGAGATGTGAAGACGATGTCATCAGTTCATCGTTGACTATGGAGCATAACTCTTCTCCAGGGTGAGGGACTGACCACCTCAAAACTACGCCTTCAAGGGTGATACACCATTACATCGTCTTTCACATCTCTACTATTTCTGCTCACTCTTCTGTACTCGACTGAGGAAGCCTACTGTGAAGGCGAAACGTTTCGCAATAAAGACACCTAACTGTTGCACATGCCTTAACACACACGAAGTGTTTCGATTAACACTTCGTCTGCGTCTACCCCAGACTCAACAAAAGTTACATTCTTATCCACCTTGGATTATATAATAGCCTAACTTCCTCACGTCAGCAGTGATTCTACCTGATCTTCCTTTATATTATTGTTGGTATTTACGATAAGACAGACACTATGTACAAACTACACCTTCATTTAAAGACTGCAAAAATGCTGACTGCTTGAGTACTGTCAGCTAATGTTTATATTTCTTCCTCACACCAAGAGGACGGAGACTCGAGCCTCCACTGTTCCTTGTGTTGAATAACTAATTCAGGTTCATCATTTGAAATAAATGAAATAATAATAATAATAATAATAATAATTAACAATATAGCTCATTTAAACAGGACAAAATATATTCTCGGCGCATCTCGACAGTCTTTCAAGAAGTTGTAGCTACCTAGTTTGTTGGTGTAGTATCTGACAGTGTTGTTGTTGCCGCACCCGCAGGAGGAGGCTGACCTGCCGCTGTGCCGCAGTGGCTCTGCATGCGGCTACCTTCAGGTGAACGCCTATGGCGTCAGCACTCAACAGTTTTGCCGCTGCGCCAGAACAGACGGCTCCTGCGACATGCACTGGGATCCACAGGACGGACACTCTATCACCATGGGCTCCGACCAGTTCAAGGTGAGGATGGTGACTGGGGGCTCCGACCAGTTCAAGGTGAGGATGGTGACTGGGGGCTCCGACCAGTTCAAGGTGAGGATGGTGACTGGGGGCTCCGACCAGTTCAAGGTGAGGATGGTGACTGGGGGCTCCGACCAGTTCAAGGTGAGGATGGTGACTGGGAGCTCCCACCAGTTCAAGGTGAGGTTGATGACTGGGGGCTCCGACAAGTTCAAGGTGATTATGGTGACTGGGAGCTCCGACCAGTTCAAGGTGAGGATGGTGACTGGGAGCTCCGACCAGTTCAAGGTGAGGATGGTGACTGGGGGCTCCCACCAGTTCAAGGTGAGGATGGTGACTGGGGGCTCCGACCAGTTCAAGGTGAGGTTGGTGACTGGGAGCTCCGACCAGTTCAAGGTGAGGATGGTGACTGGGGCTCCCACCAGTTCAAAGGTGAGGAGGTGACTGGGAGCTCCGACAAGTTCAAGGTGAGGATGGTGACTGGGAGCTCCGACCAGTTCAAGGTGAGGATGGTGACTGGGGGCTCCCACCAGTTCAAGGTGAGGATGGTGACTGGGGGCTCCGACAAGTTCAAGGTGAGGATGGTGACTGGGGGCTCCCACCAGTTCAAGGTGAGGATGGTGACTGGGGGCTCCCACCAGTTCAAGGTGAGGATGGTGACTGGGGCTCCCACCAGTTCAAGGTGAGGGCGGTGACTGGGGGCTCCCAACAGTTCAAGGTGAGGATGGTGACTGGGGGCTCCCACCAGTTCAAGGTGAGGATGGTGACTGGGAGCTCCCACCAGTTCAAGGTGAGGATGGTGACTGGTGAGGATGGTGACTGAACAATAAGAACAGTTCAACGTGAGGATGGTGACTGAACAATAAGAACAGTTCAACGTGAGGATGGTGACTGAACAATAACAACAGTTCAAGGTGAGGATGGTGACTGAACAATAAGAACAGTTCAAGGTGAGGATGGTGACTGAACAATAACAACAGTTCAAGGGGAGGATGGTGACTGAACAACAACAACAGTTCAAGATAAGGATGGTGACTGAACAATAAGAACAGTTCAAGGTAAGGATGGTGACTGAACAATAAGACAGTTTCAAGTAAGATGGTGACTGAACAATAACAACAGTTCAGGGTAAGGATGGTGACTGAACAATAAGAATAGTTCAAGGTAAGGATGGTGACTGAACAATAAGAATAGTTCAAGGTAAGGATGGTGACTGAACAATAACAACAGTTCAATGTAAGGATGGTGACTGAACAATAAGAACAGTTCAAGGTTAGGATGGTGACTGAACAATAAGAACAGTTCAAAGTAAGGATGGTGACTGAACAATAAGAACAGTTCAAGGTAAAGATGGTGACTGAACAATAACAACAGTTCAAGGTAAGGATGGCGACTGAACAATAAGAACAGTTCAAGGTAAGGATGGTGACTGAACAATAACAATAGTTCAAGGTGAGGATGGTGACTGAACAACAACAACAACAGTTCAAGGTAAGGATGGTGGCTGAACAATAACAACAGTTCAAGGTGAGGATGGTGACCGAACAATAACAACAGTTCAAGGTGAGGATGGTGACTGGACAACAATAACAGCAGTTCAAGATGAGGATGGTGACTGAACAATAAGAACAGTTCCAGGTGAGGAGGGTGACTGAACAATAAGAACAGTTCAAGGTGAGGATGGTGACTGAACAATAAGAACAGTTCAAGGGAAGGATGGTGACTGAACAATAACAACAGTTCCAGGTAAGGATGGTGACTGAACAATAAGAACAGTTCAAGGTGAGGATGGTGACTGAACAATAACAACAGTTCAAGGTAAGGATGGTGACTGAACAATAAGAACAGTTCAAGGTAAGGATGGTGACTGAACAATAACAACAGTTCAAGATGAGGATGGTGACTGAACAATAAGAACAGTTCAAGGTGAGGATGGTGACTGAACAATAACAACAGTTCAAGGTGAGGATGGTGACTGAACAATAACAACAGTTCAAGGTGAGGATGGTGACTGAACAATAACAACAGTTCAAGGTAAGGATGGTGACTGAACAATAACAACAGCTCAAGGTAATTATGGTAACTGAACAATAAGAACAGTTCAAGGTAAGGATGGTGACTGAACAATAAGAACAGTTCAAGGTAAGGATGGTGACTGAACAATAACAACAGTTCAAGTAAGGATGGGACGAACAATAAGAACAGTTCAAGGTAAGGATGGTGACTGAACAATAAGAACAGTTCAAGGTGAGGATGGTGACTGAACAATAAGAACAGTTCAAGGTAAGGATGGTGACTGAACAATAAGAACAGTTCAAGGTGAGGATGGTGACTGAACAATAAGAACAGTTCAAGGTAAGGATGGTGACTGAACAATAAGAACAGTTCAACGTAAGGATGGTGACTGAACAATAACAACAGTTCAAGGTAAGGATGGTGACTGAACAATAAGAATAGTTCAAGGTAAGGATTGTGACTGAACAATAACAACAGTTCAAGGTAAGGATGGTGACTGAACAATAAGAATAGTTCAAGGTGAGGATGGTGACTGAACAATAAGAATAGTTCAAGGTAAGGATGGTGACTGAACAATAACAACAGTTCAAGGTAAGGATGGTGACTGAACAATAAGAATAGTTCAAGGTAAGGATGGTGACTGAACAATAAAATAGTTCAAGTAAGGATGGTGACTGAACAATAAGAATAGTTCAAGGTAAGGATGGTGACTGAACAATAACAACAGTTCAAGGTAAGGATGGTGACTGAACAATAAAATAGTTCAAGGTAAGGATGGTGACTGAACAATACAACAGTTCAAGGTAAGGATGGTGACTGACAATAAGAACAGTTCAAGGTAAGGATGGTGACTGAACAATAAGAATAGTTCAAGGTAAGGATGGTGACTGAACAATAAGAATAGTTCAAGGTAAGGATGGTGACTGAACAATAAGAACAGTTCAAGGTAAGGATGGTGACTGAACAATAAGAATAGTTCAAGGTAAGGATGGTGACTGAACAATAAGAATAGTTCAAGGTAAGGATGGTGACTGAACAATAAGAACAGTTCAAAGTAAGGATGGTGACTGAACAATAAGAATAGTTCAAGGTAAGGATGGTGACTGAACATAAGAATAGTTCAAGGTAAGGATGGTGACTGGAACAATAACAACAGTTCAAGTAAGATGGTGACTGAACAATAAGAATAGTTCAAGGTAAGGATGGTGACTAACAATAAGAATGTTCAAGGTAAGGATGGGTGACTGAACAATAACAACAACAGTTCAAGGTAAGGATGGTGACTGAACAATAAGAATAGTTCAAGGTAAGGATGGATACTGAACAATAAGACCAGTTCAAGGTAAGGGATGGGGTGACTGACAATAAGAATAGTTCAAGGTAAGGATGGTGACTGAACAATAAGAAGTTCAAGGTAAGGATGGTGACTGAGACATAAGAACAGTTCAAGGTAAGGATGGTGACTGAACAATAAGATAGTTCAAGGTAAGGATGGTGACTGAACAATAAGAATAGTTCAAGGTAAGGATGGTGACTGAACAATAACAACAGTTCAAGGTAAGGATGGTGACTGAACAATAAGAATAGTTCAAGGTAAGGATGGTGACTGAACAATAAGAACAGTTCAAGGTAAGGATGGTGACTGAACAATAAGAATAGTTCAAGGTAAGGATGGTGACTGAACAATAAGAATAGTTCAAGGTAAGGATGGCGACTGAACAATAAGAATAGTTCAAGGTAAGGATGGTGACTGAACAATAACAACAGTTCAAGGTAAGGATGGTGACTGAACAATAACAACAGTTCAAGGTAAGGATGGTGACTGAACAATAAGATAGTTCAAGTAGGATGGTGACTGAACAATAACAACAGTTCAAGGTAAGGATGGTGACTGAACAATAAGAATGTTCAAGGTAAGGATGGTGAATGAACAATAAGAATAGTTCAAGGTAAGGATGGTGACTGAACAATAAGAAAGTTCAAGGTAAGGATGGTGACTGAACAATAACAACAGTTCAAGTAAGGATGGTGACTGAACAATAAGAATAGTTCAAGGTAAGGATGGTGACTGAACAATAAGAACAGTTCAAGGTAAGGATGGTGACTGAACAATAAGAACAGTTCAAGGTAAGGATGGTGACTGAACAATAAGAATAGTTCAAGGTAAGGATGGTGACTGAACAATAAGAATAGTTCAAGGTAAAGATGGTGACTGAACAATAGAACATTCAAGGTAAGGATGGTGACTGAACAATAAGAAAGTTCAAGGTAAGGATGGTGACTGAACAATAAGAATAGTTCAAGGTAAGGATGGTGACTGAACAATAAGAACAGTTCAAGGTAAGGATGTTGACTGAACAATAAGAATAGTTCAAGATAAGGATGGTGACTGAACAATAACAACAACAGTTCAAGGTAAGGATGGTGACTGAACAATAAGAATAGTTCAAGGTAAGGATGGATACTGAACAATAAGAACAGTTCAAGGTAAGGATGGTGACTGAACAATAAGAATAGTTCAAGGTAAGGATGGTGACTGAACAATAAGAATAGTTCAAGGTAAGGATGGTGACTGAACAATAAGAACAGTTCAAGGTAAGGATGGTGACTGAACAATAAGAATAGTTCAAGGTAAGGATGGTGACTGAACAATAACAACAGTTCAAGGTAAGGATGGTGACTGAACAATAAGAATAGTTCAAGGTAAGGATGGTGACTGAACAATAAGAACAGTTCAAGGTAAGGATGGTGACTGAACAATAAGAATAGTTCAGGTAAGGATGGTGACTGAACAATAAGAATAGTTCAAGGTAAGGATGGTGACTGAACAATAAGAATAGTTCAAGGTAAGGATGGTGACTGAACAATAACAACAGTCAAGGTAAGGATGGTGACTGAACAATAAGAATAGTTCAAGGTAAGGATGGTGACTGAACAATAAGAATAGTTCAAGGTAAGGATGGTGACTGAACAATAACAACAGT